CCTCTTTTGGAAGGCCAAACAAAGTAGTTTCGCTTTCACACAGCGTCACACACGGCGGGCTTGAGTGAGTGGCGGTCGGCGGGCTAGAGTGAGCGGCGGCCGGCGGACTTGAGAATAGTGTTGTTTTTGGTGGCCTGTTTTAATTTTAGTTTTAGTCTAGTCTTTGTGTGAAGCTGTCATTTTAGTTTTTATTAGTTTTAGTCACGTTCATACTCTTTTTAGTCTAGTCAAGTTTTAGTCAACTAAAAAAGTCCGAGCATTTTAGTCTTATTTTAGTCAGAATTATCCACGACTATTTTCGTCTAGTTTTAGTCGACGAAAACTGATGACATTTTAGTCTAGTTTTAGGCAGCCGGAATTTCAGTGCATCTCTAATTATTGGCGACATTAGAAATGGATATTATATAATAGCTGCTTTTTTTAACATTTTAGCAATTTATAAATATTAAAAAAGGATTTTTTACATGGCACCCCTGCTCTCGACAGACGCGGCACCCTGGTTGGGAAACACTGCTCTAAATAATGCCGTGAGTGGGGCTTGAGGAAGTGACATCGCCTACGTCTGCGCAGTGCGACCTGATGCAGCCCCTGAAGTGAGGTCTCGTTTTTATTCGTCAACAATATTGCATTATACATTTAATTATAGTCATCGTCACATGACCAGCATTTACGTTGCGTCTCGTCTCGTTTTCGTCACGTGATAAAGGTTCGTTGACGACGATATTTAGTCAATTTCGTTGACGAAAGCAACACTACTTGAGAACGGCGCGGCCGGCGGGCTTGCGGCAACCACATGTGATGAATCCCCGGGCTGGATGGAAGACCAAACAAAGTAGTTTCGTCTTCACGACATGGCGGCCGCGGCAACAACAATACTACAGCGAGAATAAAAGTTACGCCTTTTCTTTGCATGCACATTTGGGCGGCATTATGCAAATCTTCCCACCTAGTGATGTAGACATGTGGGGGCGTGTTAGAACGAGCCGTTTTAGGTAGGCGTGGTTGACTCTTAACTTTTATAAAGAATATCTCTTTGGATTTGAGACTTTAGTCTTTGCAACTTTACAGATCTTCTTTATGCACCAAGAGCTTGTAACACTCCAAAGAGAAAGGAAAAATTGAAATCGCATCATATGACCCCTGAAATAGAACGTAAGTGTACATCATTTACATAAATAACAACTTGCCAACACAATAACTTAAATATAAAAAAACATCTTTTGGTAGAAAAACGACTAAATAATAATACAAAAAAAAACTTTTTTTCTTTCCAAAAGGGAAATTAACTAAAATAAATAAATGAAAAAAATACCACAAACTGTAACACTTAGAAATACATTTTGGTATTTGTGGCTCACAAACTGTTTGAGACTGAGCGCGGATTGTGCGCTCCACTAATATAGATCAGTTCTGGTGCGCGCGCTTTTGGTATAAGCACGAAATGTGCGGGAATGACTATAATGCGCAATACAAGCACTATTTAACCGGAGTAATAGAAACATCGTAAGTTACTAATTATAATGCTTACATTTCCTCAGTTATTCAAAAAGCAGCTACAGAAAACGAGCAAAGAACACTGCATTACCAAAGAACATCATCACAAGCTCAGTCTAGCGCGAGTTTATGCACTTTAAAAACACTCCCGTTAAAATCAGCAAATATACACTGTATGATGAATAAATCTCTTATACTTACATCACACGTACATCTGCACTTTGTTGTTTATGATGAGAGAATTCGTGAGTCAGAATTCAGTCAGTGCGTGCTGAACAACAGAACTCCGCTGTTTCAGTGATGACTCATCTGAACGCATCTCATTGGCCAATGCATTCATAAGCTCAGCATAATCGTGTGTGATTGGTTAGAACGCGCAATACTGTAAAAACGCGGAAAAAGAAATATAATGCAACAAATAAGGCCTAATATTAATTAGATTGTATTACTAGCCTGATGATAATAATAATAATAATAATAATAATAATAATAATCATCGTCTTGCTATCGTCAAAGGCATCAGCCACAGGCGATATCGCTGTCTAACGTCGATACACGATACTATTGTCTAACGGCACAACCCTACTGTCACTGAATGTCACTATTGTTTTTTCCCTCCGATCTCATTTTTCTCATATTATGAGAAAGGAACAAGTTTGTCCAAGTTGTTGGGAAGAAGTGAGCTCCGTGTCTTGCTCACAAAGGAGCACCACGGACAAGACATGCCACGTCTTTAAAATTCGAACACATTGTTTTCTATGTTGCTCACAAAGAAGCACCACGGACAAGACACGCCATGTCTTTAAAATTCGAACACATTGTTTTCTATGAGTGTACACACAGGTGACGCCACTTGACGTGTCCAGTGAGTCATCCTAGACGTGGCGCTGTGCTTCTCGTCTGCTGTGTGACCGCCTTCGGAGAAAATGCGCTCTAATGGCATGGAAGTGGAACGTATGGAGTGCAATGAAGAAATGCACATTAAGTTAAATATGTCAGTATGATTTAACTTCCACACTCTGCACGAATATTTGTATAATGCAAAGTAATAGCGCACATTTAATCTAAGTTAACCTTAAAGTTAAAACGAGCAGCCATGTCAAGTGGCAAATGTTTGACTAGTACTTACTGTACATGTTTTAAATAAGACATGCTCGATGTTCATGAATGATAGACAAAGATTTTGCAGGCAATCTTTTTGGGGTTGCCCTTTATCATTTCAAAATGATCCCACACTTTTGATTTTCTCCCTGACATATTTACATGGATCAGCCAGGCGAGCCATGTTAACGAACTTTCCGCCACTGACTGTGTGACTTCGTCACTTCTTGTGGAATTCTTTTTTCCTTCGACTAACCAACTAATGGAAATTTAGTTGACCAAGCCTCTTCTAGTCGACTAACGTTTAGTCGACTGTTAGGGAGCATATTTTGATCAAATAAATGGTGAGCATAAGAGACTTCTTTCAAAAACACTTTTGAACAGTAGTGTTAAAAATATATACAAAGATACACACACAGAGGGAACATTTTAATCAAAAAATTCATGTTCTTTAAAAATGACTATAGAATGATAACAAATAAGTACCTTTAAATGCTCAAAACTAAAAAACCTTATCTTAAACTTTATGCTGTGGTGTCATAATAAATTTAAAGGAGAATTCTGAAGAAAGCAAGAGAACAGACTGTGTGAAAGCGGCTCAGCACAGTGTGATCTCAAAGTCCTCTGCAGTCTGAGCAGCACGAGAAAAGAGGCGAGAGGGAGGAGAGGGATGGGGATGAGGTTAGGTTTACTGCAGCACACACAATGGCAGCTGTGATTTATGTGGACTGCTGGCCCAGTTCTGTGGGCTGTAGGGGGAAGCCCTCACTTACCAACATCTCATGTGCTGGCTCACACAACAGCAAAAAGTCAAGACAATGACCAGACTAAACGAGCTCTGACTGAGGTACATGCAGTAAAACTACTGTTATCATAAAGAAAGAACTTGGAATTTACTTATATGGTTTTACTATATCTGCATCACGTATTTCCCTGTTGATGTATTGCGCGTACATTTCAAAATGTCAGAAGGGTATGAAACATGGTGGGAGCCACTATGTATGTTCTCACATTTGGTTATATTAGTGTGTCATAATCAGGAACTTCATGAAGATCGGCTAGATGCAGTGAATGTCGAAAAACAATTAAAGATGACAGCCAGAACGACAGCATCAAATCTTAGAACGTATCACATCTTAAAGCGCATCCACAAAGGTTAGCAACATTAACTCACATATATGCTGCAGTGTGTCCTGTTGAAAACATGAACGAAAAATCTTGCCTTAAACCGAGCACAACGTTTTATCATTCTTTTCGTAATATACACAGAAACGGCTTTTCTCTCTCTTATTGTACTTGGGTGTGTGTGTGTTCAGGCTTGACTAATCATAAAGCAAAAACTGACGCTTCAAATAAACATTCTGATCATCTCTAAACATTTATTCAGATGCAACACCTAAAAGTAATTATGTCTACTTACTGTCTATTTAACGTTTTAATTGGTGCGATTAATTATGGAAAAAATAACATGTATGTGTTTATATATGAACTATGAACTATAAACTATGTATGATATAGTTTAGCAATATCACACAAGCAAGAGTGCTGTTTTTTCCAAATATCTGCACGATTGCAAATGTGATATTGATTTTATACAACTGTTTAATAAAAAAGAAGTTAATATTACGTGAAATTTTAGACACAATATTGTTTTGTCTGCTTTGCACAATTTCGCAAATGAAAATAGTTCAAACAAAGCCCCAGCAGAACTTTTGTGTGTCAGAAACACAGCGGTGTTTCGTTCCTGAATGAATCTGTTACCTTTTTTTGAGTCAATGATTCAGTGAGCAATTCATAAAGAAAGTCACTTGCTTCGTTTCCAAATTAATCATCCATTCGAAGGAGTTGGTTGAATGAATAACTGAAAGACTCACTCAATCATTACGACGTGACTTGCCGCCACCTACTGGAGGTTTTAGTTTCATATTTTGAGTATTATTTCATTTTTTCTTTAATTATTTCAAATTTCAATACTCATTTTTTAAAAACCATTAATGTCCATCTATTATCATTATCATCATGCAATGCTGAATCAAAATATTTCTTTCTAAAGCTACTTTTATAATGTCTATTCAATGCTTTACTCATCTAACACAATGTTTTTAAATTATCTTCTGGGGGCATATTCTCAGCTAAAATTGATGTGTGATTAATTTGTGATTAATTAGATCTAGAATTTCTTTAATTATTTCAAATTTCAATACTCATTTTTTAAAAACCATTAATGTCCATCTATTATCATTATCATCATGCAATGCTGAATCAAAATATTTCTTTCTAAAGCTACTTTTATAATGTCTATTCAATGCTTTACTCATCTAACACAATGTTTTTAAATTATCTTTTGGGGGCATATTCTCAGCAAAAATTGATGTGTGATTAATTTGTGATTAATTAGATCTAGAATTTAGCATCTAGTGGCTACATCATGGTGTTACAGATGATTTTGAATATGAACGGGCCTCCTCAAATGAATAAGTTTACCTGTATTTTTGCATCTTGGTTTGACTATGTACAGGTATAAGAAGACAATTTGAGCTAGAATCCAAGTAGTATCCTTGGAACACATTTTGTCTTTAAAATACAACCTTGTAAATAGGATTTTTAAGGATGAGAATTTATTTGCAACAATTAATGAAATGACTCCAGACTCGACTTGGACTCGTTATGAAAAACTCCAGACTTGACTCTGGCTCCAGCTTAAAGACTTCAGACTTGACTAGGACTTCAGATGAAAGACTTGTGGACATGTCTGGTATGAAGTAAGCTGGCCTTACTTACAGTTTGGCCTCATAAGCCAATTAGGCAAATTAGTGAGTAATTAAAGATTATTTTACCACCCTACCTGCTGCAATTAAAGCACAGCAAGACTGTGCCATGTAGTAAACTGTGCTTATGTTTTAAGCATTCCCGTGATGCCAAGAAACTAGAAAATGTGTTTAAAAGATTTAATAAAAATACTTTGTTGACATAAGAAAACACTTGCATCACCCTCTGACTGCTGTATTTCAAGGAAGACTGCACACTCCAGTATAAACACAGGCCTGGACGGCAGACAGAAGGTAGCTCCTTTCACTTCTCTACAGATCTTATCCATCCAGCGAGCAGTGACTTTATGCTTGGAGCAGACAGCTGCAGACAGTCACTCCACTCAAGAGAGCCTCGAGGGACGGGCCTAGTGGGACAAAACGGCTCGTGCAGCAGAGAGAGGAAGGGGACAAGGGGTTAAACGTGATTTTACAGATGAATGAAAGCCATAATCTGGCCCAGGGCCATCACACAAAAAAGGGATGCTGGGTAGGGGTACAGTAATGGCAAAATGAGAGGTTCACTTCTACAGAAATTTCTGAAAGAAAAAAAAATATATAAAAATTTAAAACATATGCTCAGATAGCCTGTTTAAATCAGCTTCAACACAACCAGTGTACCAAACATGCCATCAGCCTGAACAATGAAATTGTTTTGACTAAAACAAGGATTTTAAAAGTATAACAAGCCTCATGTGCGTCTCAAATTGTGCTCAGTGCTCAAAACTGAGCTGATTTCAGTATCACTACACTTACAAAAGCACAAAATTTTAGGGGCATGGGCAAGATGCAACAAAAAGACAAAAATAAATAAATACAAATAAAAAAAACACAAAGGACAGCACATTGAATGCCAGAATACATCTTGAGTAAAAATCTCCAAACTTCCTATTTTGACTCGAATGGAAAGCAACAAAAAGAAGCCAATCACGGTGTAAAATGTAAAAGTGTCCAAGGTTAGGTTGTTTTTCTTATGATAATAAAGTTTATGAGTTTTGATCAGATGTCAGATGACACTCACGCCAAATAATTTTCAACATTTGCAGAGTAATTTTCACTTGCAAATGAGTGAAACGCTTATACTGTACAGCCCTGAAACTACATCCAATCAAGAAGACAGATTTGCAGTGAGAGCTAACACAGACCTCGTGACTGCTGCTATGCTAATTTAGAGGTGTGACATTTTCACGCACAACTGACAAGCAACAATCATCCTAATACATCTGGATATCACAAAGAGAGATTTACCTTTTAATTTCCAAAAACAAGTAAATGACAACGGTCATGACTGAAAAGTTCAACATTTTAGTAAACTCAAGAGCACAGCAGCTGGATGAATTAAATGAATAAAGGAATCAAAAAGCAAAAAAAATAAAATAAATATATAAATACATAAATAAACCTATTTTAAAAATGTTCAAACTTAATTTAAATGCCTCCTCCTTGCTGTTTAATTGCTGCTGTACTGTGTAATATTAATTGACATGTCCTGACTATAGTTTTAGGTTTAAGGTTTAATTTTAGTTACTTGTAATTATGCATAATTTACTGTTATTACTATAGCAAATACATGTAACAAGTGTAACAAGGACACATTTAAAAAATGTGTTACCAAATATTTTGATGAAAAATGACAATTTATACAATGTTTTTTTTTTTGTTTTACACATCAGGATATAATGTAAAGTATCATTTCACACCCTTTCAGTGCACAAACATGTAGTTCACAGGTAAGAGAGGAACACCTGCTGGACAAGTGCCTATGAATGAACATTAGATGTATAGAGCAGGGCAGGGAGGAGCCCTGCATAGATTAAACCTGTTCTGCAGACAACATGGCACAAATCTGTTATGAAAGAGCTGTACTGGCTGCCAGTAAGAACAGAGGAAGGCTTGAAACCTTGACCTAAAATAAAATAACATAAAACTAGCATTTTACCCATTCAAAACTCACAACTCCAGCTGCATGATAAACATTTCCTTCTCTTTCTTCATAGTCATCATACGAGTCACGGCTGATAAAGGAGGACAATGCCGACAGAGCTGCGATAATAAGCCTGGACATTTAATATGTGCAGCTGGGTGGGAGACGTCAGATTAGCTGAAAGAGCCTACTATGTAACCAGTCACAAGATCTTCCACAACTGTCAAAGCCAAGGAGCGTTTCTCCCTCCCAAACCCTTCAGGGAAAACGTACAGACTTCACATTTCCGAAAGCTTCCCCAGGAACCTCCTAAACCACAGACGTATGTGTGTGTGATACACTTGTTAATGATTAAACTACAGCTAATGCCATTTCTGTGCTTTGTAAATGTGGATGAGGGCATTCTGGGTTAATCCAGTTAGTGCTCAACATCTCCGAAGTGAAGAATTTACTGTGACGAGGCCGGTGCTCGACTGTCACACAATAGGACAGAAACAGCGAGGATTAGGGATTGCATAATGACTAAACACGGTGGAAGCTTCACGTTGATGTTTTCGGAGGGTGTGATGGGGAATTCCTCGAATACTGTCGGCTTTGGCCAACAGTTTTATCAGTGGCAATACAGGGGCTTCAGTTCCCAGACTGTTTAGCAACATGTTTTCTCATGTAAACCAACTGCTGGAATAGTCTGAAGGCAATTTGTGAGCCACCGTGCTCATATTAAAATATGAATTGGCAAAACACTTGATCCGAAGTCATTTGCTGCTCATCGTTTTGTCTGAGAGGTCATTTCCCACACTTAGTCCTGCTTTGTGCCCTGCATTAAACTCTCAAACGTTTCTATTTTTAGACTTGCTA